GCTCTCTTTTCCAAACTCATATTGTTCTTGCAATTGTTGTCTTTTTTTTATGTACAACATGCCGCTACAATTTGTAATTAGCCGCTGACTTTTAGTGTTTCTAATGTTTAATGCGCTAGCTGGCTGTTCACATTAATTTGCATTGTTTCTGTTTATCTATTTGTTTTCATTTCATTTTGTTATGTTTCTCTTTTTTGATCTATCTCACTCGCACAACGGATGTTTGGCATCGTTTTTGAATGTGTTTCGAGGGAGAAATAGAGATATGGCTAAAAATCTGGCACACCGAAAAAATTGTAAATTCGAATTTCCATTTCGATAAAAGTAACCAAAAAGTAAAAAATATACATCAAAACACAGCGCAGGAAATTCAAATAGTGAAACCCATAAAAAAGTAGTTTAAATACCAGTTAAAACGAGTTTAAATGGTTAACACCACAAACCGCACATGGGACTGATTAATGGATTTTTGCTTTGTTAATTATTCTATTAAGCGTTTCGTAATGAAGTCATCACCCAATCAATGGATAATTAAGCCATTACTACTAAGTAAATAAATTGAGTTTTTGAAAAAGCTGAATCATCTCTGCGAATGTCTTTGTATATGTGAGGTATCATTATTAATTTTATTATAATTAATGGGTTATATTTTGATATTTACTGTTTTTTATTATTTAAATTTCCTACAAAGTTTAAACATAGTTATAAACTGTTTAGTTTCAACCTGTAAATATACATACATAGATTATTTATAGGCGTAGGTGGAAAAGATAAATATCTCAAGATCCTTTAAAAATTCTTTGCTCAAATTTGGTATCAGGATTTATTAAGCCGTTATGAATTGATATGGAAAGTTTTATATCAATCTATAGATTTGTAAAGAAAACAAGTATACCTAAAAACAGGTAATACAACTTATTTATGATAATTTTAGTTTTAGTATTGTAAATAGTCCTATTTATTTTAATTTATCCTATTAATTTAAAATTTTCTTAACAATCTATGAGTGTTCAGCTCTATATATATATTCACACTCCTAGCTATAGCCTCAAGATCTCCGAAGATGGCAAAGATCAGCAAACAGAGATATGCGAACGCTGCACTTTGGATGCCGACGATGATGATGATTTTCGCTATCTGATTCGCTGGCTCGGCCAAGAGTCAATAGCACAAACAAACTATCGTAGATCGGAATACCATATATGTTTATACATATACGTATACGTATATAGTATTGTATATATTTGTGTTAAGATATATAGGCAGGTAACGAACGCACGCCACCACGTTCATTTCATTGAATTGGAGCGATGAACTCGGGTATTTAGCTTTTTTTTGTGAGCGAAGGGGAAATGCAAAAACGCATTTTCCAAAGCAACTACAACAACAATTGTTACGAGTCAATTGTTTAACGATGTAGCTCTGGCTGGCACTCTTTATAAATAAACGTAATTAGCACTGAGCCACAATAATAATAATAACAATTATGCTAAGAACTTTTACGACTCAATTAAGTGAAACCCAAAAGATGCGCAACACAATAGAGAGGAGGCGAGGTTAGTGGCAGTAATAATTATTATTATTGTATGTACCATAGGTATGTATGCATGGTTTTTAATGTGCAAAACAACATTAGCAACTGAAAACTGCATAAAAACCGAAGCTAAGTGGAATGTATCCGCCTTCACGCCCACGCCTTTGACGGGGCGGAAAAACTTGAGGCTTTTTTTATGTGCCCCAGACGAGGTTTATGGTTTTGTTTTTCGATCCCCCTACCCCTACCCCTAGTACCCTAACATAAATACATGCTGCATAAGTCACGTCCTGGGCCAAAACATAACCCATTGCCACTATATAGTGTTCGCGTATCCGATCCGTACATGAACAACAATCGCAAATGGCATCCGTCCGCGATTATTTATGGCCACTATTTCAAATTACACAAGCTCTCTTAACATATGTGTGGCTATAGTGATATGTGCCCCACTGTACGATTTGCACTGTATTGTACATATCATATAATAATATATACATATTTATATTTGAGTCCGAGCAACCTTCAGGGTCTGGGGACTTGCCCCCCTTATCGAACTCAAAACTTTGTTGCCGCCGCTTCGTTCCATTTGCTGATTTTATTTTTGTTGTTTTTTGCTAATAATGTATATATTTATCACCCTTATTTTGGGACAGAGTGTATTGGGCTTAAAGGATATCATTCAAGTTTCTTATAATATGTATTTTCTAGTGTTTAATAAACGTTTAGAGTGTTAACTTTATTATCATGAATCGGGTTAAAGACTTTCCATACATTTTTGGTATGAGCAATATTTAAACCCTTCTCCAACAGTATACAAGATTTCAGACCATTTTATAAATAATTAAAGTGAAGATCAGAAAAGGAAGTTAATATATAATGTGGAATTACTTGTAAACTTGAAAAGTAAATGGAAATATTCATAGGAATATAACTAATCCATAATAATTTGTTGTTATATTTTATATAAAATTTATAAATATAGGGTACCTTATACTTCCTTACACTTTTCACCAGACAGACCACCGGCCAGACTGGAGTCCGACCACAGTCTCTTATTTACTTGAGCTTAAAAAAGCAATTTACTCGCATTTTTATTACTTATGGTAAATATTGTTGGGGATTTTATGGCATTCGCATCCTTGAGCAGCTCGACGAGTTGTTGCTGATTGAACCTTATCGGTTCGAGTCACAAATATCATACGGGGTCTCAGAGGGAGCTTCAACAAGTAGTAGAAAATGCTACGAAATCCCCCTCCAAGGAAGTTTTGCTGCAAAATTGGGTCGCATGGGGGAGAAAAACAGAGGAGTAGTTGCAGGTATTGAGAGGGAGAGTGATATCCACGGTACATTTTTATGTATATAATAAAAATAAACAATGCCATGACGCAATTTGGCTTAAATCTCCCTCCATTTTTTGTCTGAATTTTTATGCAAATTGAATTGTTAAAACAATAAACACAATAACAAACAACAACAGCAACTGCAAATAACATGGCTCTTTCTGTCTGTGATCATTTGCATCTCAATTGAACAAATAGAATTGGACTGGATAAAGTGCACTTCCCTAATGCGAATTTGACATGCAAACTGGCTAAAAACAAGTATATGTATAAAAAAAAAAAACTGAATCAGAGGATTTCATAACAGAAAGTATAAAAGAAAATTACAGCCCAAGTACCATAAATTATTTAATGGCAATAAATATTAACCAATTTGATAACAAATCAAGCTCTCACGTTTTTTATTGATTTCATTTATTAAAGTATTCTAGTTAAAAAGAAATCATTTCGTATATTAAATTTATACCATTACAGTAACTAATTTTGTTTTGTAATCATACTTAAAGTTTACATTTTTCTCTCTTGAATCTCAATTTTATTTATTAAGAAAAGTCGCCTTTCCATCTGCTGGTAGACTTTATTGGGTTAATGTCTCATTGTCTCCATTCGCTGCAGACGATTCAATTTCAGCGATAAATAAAATGAAATTATAACAGAAAGCAGACAAGGCTACTCCGACCTTAAGGTGCCTTAACAAGACATATGTGTTGTGTCTCTTGTGACCAGGGCAATTGTTTGATTTATTTTCCAACAGATAAAACACGAAGAAACAAAATTTAAGAATAAATACTTGAGAAGAAATGAGTTACATGCCATGTAAAAAATCCGGCAGCGATCTTCTTGCTGAAGATAGCAGAAAATTAGCTGGAAAAGAGCCCCCAACGAAGACGACGTGCCTACACGTGTATGTTCGATGACCCAAATCCGATTAAAAGGGCCCTCTAAAAAAAAAGCTAGTCAAGAAACTAAACTAAAATAAACAAAACTAATTGCCCAAAAAAGGGCCAACACATCTATCTTGATTCTTAGGCAAAAGTTCCCCCTGGCAAGGGAGGTATTTTCTGATAAATTTCGAAATTAATTATGTCACATTATGTAATCTGATCAGCTTCGTTGCGGTTGCCGTCGCCGTTGCTGCCTGTTGTCAACGCATATCCAAAAAATACAACAAATTTCGACCCTTTTCAGAATAAAATCTGGGGAAGGGGTGGCAGACAGATCAATGAACAATGGGAAATGCGAACTGGGATACGAACAAGAAGAAAAAAAATATATATCAGAAAAACAACTACCTCACGAATTCCAGTTCCTCAGGTAGGAAATACTGCCAAGAGGCTGTTGCGATCAGATATTTGTATTTTTTCGGAGGTGAGGAACTATACACTGGGATATAGTTATAGGGATTTCAGGTACTATATATGATTTAATAAAAATAAATGTATATAAACTTTCATGTTTTCAGCATTAAGTTGGAATATATATATATCAGAGTTAGAAATGTGATCTTAGCTTCTTTATTATTTTCACCACTGTGCAGCTAGACCTGCTTGAGAATTATAGAGCAATAAAGAGGTATTATCATTTTAGTCAGAAGCTAGAAACGCAGTGAAGGAGTCATTTCCGACCCTACAAATCATATGTATTCTTGATCAGTAACAAAATCCCAGTCGATCTAGCCATCTCCGAAAGAAAACAAAAATGTAGAATTTTTATCAAATTCTATATGGGTTTAAAATTGTAAAAAAATCAAAGAAAAATTTAATTTTTTTACATTTTAAATTGAGTATGCAGATTTATTAACCTAACAAAAACTAACATAGGAGCTCTTTCCGAATCAAAATTAATGCTTTTTTGGCTGAGTTATGAATTTTTTAAACTTTGAATTATCGTCAAATGTCATACAATAATATGAATAAATAACGATTCAATGAATGTGAATATTTAAAGCTTAATTATGATTGATTTTTGATTCGTTCCCATAAATCGATTGAAACTGCATTAATTTTTGCTTCCAATTAAACTCTATAGTAAACCAATAAGCCAACATGTATTTATAATATTTTTCTTCATTTAAAAATAACCCTAATTTTAAACTCAATTTTCCTGCAAATTATTTCCTTCAGTGTCCCTGCCTTTCGGCTGTCACATGGATTTCAGATTCGGATTCCGCTTCAGCTTCAGGATTTGGCTTTTGTCTTTTGCTCTTTTCATTGAGCCACAGAAGAAAAAGAAGAAGCCTTCCGAATTATACTGGAAATTTAAGACGAAACCCCGAACCATCCAACCAACGAACGAATTCAGAGCAGGTAACAACGGTAGGCACCACCACTCCTTGGCTATATAATTAAAGGCTGAATTACGATCTTTCTCCCCCTGGGCACTCTTTCCTTTTGCGGTTATCAATGCAATGAGATTTCTGCAGATCGGATTTTTCTGTGGGCGTGCATTGTCAATGAGGTGGAGAAATCCACAGAAAAACAGGGGGATAATTAAAGGTAATATCATAAATATGCCTTTCATTCGAACAAAATAAGTTTATCGCTGAAATTTAAGTTGCAAAAAACTGAGCTTAAGAAAAAGGAAAATTAAAATGCGAGGAAATATTTCAACCCCTTCTAAAAAGAAACCCATTCAAAAGGATTAGGCATCGTTAAGGACATTAAAAAATATAATTCGAATTTATGGACAGCAATAATCTAGTAATAACTTCCCTCCTTTAATAACACAAAAGCCGGAAAAGTGGGGTAAATCAAATGATTTTCCAAAGTATCTTTGTCTCTCGTTTTCGGTTGGTTGGAAAATCTAGTGGAAATAACTTACGCTCTCCTGCTTTTAATCCCCCAATCTAATGTTCTCTAAGCCCAAATTATGAGTCCGTTTTTCCAGAGTGAAAAAAGAAAACCCTTTCACTTTTCATTATTAAGCCATTGATAAATCAAATTTTCATATCCTCCGAGAGAGAATGGGGGAAAAAGGTAAACGGAATGCGAAAAGAGCTTAAAATTAATTGAAACTGTATCCTTTGCTTTTGGACATAAAAGTAAAAATTGCATAATTGGGCAACATTTTTCTTTGAGCATAATTTGTGCAACATTTAAGCTGCGAGTTTATGGCAAAACTCCCTCGAAATAATACGCTTTTAATTGCATTTTTAGCGCTTCTCAGCTGGAAACTACAATTTCAATGGGCCAAAACTGTTAAAGCCAAGTCTGCAGCTCCCACCGTTGTAGTTGCTTTTTTTTTGTTGGCTTTCATGCACTGCAGACTTGTGTCTGGCCAATTTAAATCCATTTTGCATTTGCATAAAGCCAGCAGAGGGAAAGGGAAAGGTCTTAACAAAAAAATATAAAAAGCAGTTGGCCATTTTTACTTATTTCAACTGCAACGATTTCTGACTGGAATATATTTTATATATATATAAAAAGAGGGTAAAAAGTCGAAGGAAGTCTCCAAGGAAATGTTTGTCGTTTGTGTCATTTGCATGGAAGCTTCAGCCCAGCACAAAATGCACTTTATCAACTACTAGCAATCTTTGCAAAAGGATGTCCTGGCTTTCAGTTTGCCTTGGAAAAACGAATTCCGCAACAGTAAAAGAAAAATGACCAAAAATATGATTATTTGCGGCGATTTATTAGCCGCAATTTAAATTCATAATTCCAGGGAACTTTCCGGGCTGCAAGCAAAATAGAAAAATAACAATCAAGGAAGAAAATGGAAAATGAAATGAAATATAATAAAAAGTAAAATGGGAAATATTCAAGGCTCCTCTAGTATATAGACAGACTAATCCCAGAACGACGTCTGTCTGGGTCTGCAAAACTGCAGCTTAGTCTCATAATTGGCAAAAACTGCACCAGCTGTGACATCGATTTGCAATTTCCATATAAGGGAGGAAAAGTGTTTCTGTTCCGAGTTCCTCTTCCGTGTTCCTGGCAATGTGCAACAGCAATTAGGCAAACTACTTGCAACACTTTTGCCCAGAGCAACTCGTGCGGCAATTAAAAACGAGTTGCCAGCAATTCAGACGTAACAAATTAAACCAGACGCAGACAGGATCAACTGCAAACTGCATGTGCATCCCCACAAAAAATAATAAATATAGGGGGTTGCAAACCCTTGAATATTTTTCAAAAATATATAAAACATGTTATCTTTAAAGTACAGAGAAGAAAAGGTGGGTTAAAAATAGTTAACAGGCTGTATTTAAGGTATAAAATGGAGAAAATATATAATTGAGTTCTTAAACGCTCTACAACTTTTTATTTCTGCAATAAAACAAAATAAACTTGATTCAGATTACATTTATTTGCTCTAAAAAATTCAAAAACACAATAGATTCAGACAGCTGGAAAAGACTTTAACTTGATTTTGCTTTTGTTTTCCGCTTTTTGTTCAACTCGATTTGATGATCTCCTATTGTTTGCCTAGCTCTCTCCTGTTTTTTATCCTTCCAACCAGATCCTGACTTTTTGAATGATAGGAATGTAAGGATAACAATGGCAAGGGGAGGTATCCTTTAAGCAGGGGAAACCTGCGCAGTTGGAAATTGCGTCGTCAGATCAGAATTAGAAATAGAAAACAAGGAAATCCTTCCTAAATGCGCAGTTTTTCTAGAATTAAGATTGACACAAGCTTGTCGAAAAAGTGCGTAGTTTTGCCTCAGGCCTCTGACTGACAGCTCTATAAAGGACTCGACACCGCAGATAAGCCAACACAGGACGAAAACAATCGAATTGAGTCGCAAATAGAGAAGGACATTAAGCACCTAGGGGATAAATAAGGAAAGGGGGATAGATCCTAAATGGCAAAGGGAAAGGGGTAAACTCATCAATGGCCAAAGAAAAGGGGAGTCAAACGACGTGGTTTGTTCACCTTTTCAGCTTCAGTGAGTTGAGCAAACAAATAGCAGAAGGAGTAAGGAGTAGCAACACCATCGGCAAGGCAATAAAAGCATACAAATTCAGTCATTGTTGGCCATCGCAGCTAATAAAATTTGCTCCACCAACAGAAAAAAAAAGCATAAAACCAAAAGCCAAAAGCAGCAAAAACAGAAGCTGCATGTAAAAAACTTCAATGGAAAAGTGCAAGGTGGATTTCTATAAAGGAAATACTCTTTCTAAGAAAGCAAAATTAGATTTAAAAGAAAATTAGGTATTTTCATCTTCATTCTTTCAAACAATACAATTTTTATCCGTCTCAAAAGACCATATAATGACTGCAAAATATGGCTATGGAAATGGAATCAGCTTAAAAATTTGTTATATATTTAAATAACTTAGTTTATTCGGAACGTAAATTAAGACCTAAGATAATTAACAGCTTCTAAAAAACAAGTTAAGTTAAATTAAGGGTAGAAAAACCTATATTTTCTTTATCCGAAAGAATTATAAATCCTGCTCAAAGGACCAATTTGTGACTCAAAATTATGACTGTAAAAATGTTTCCCAGCTTAGATACATTCATGACTTTGTTTCTTGTTTATATTAAACTGAAAAACAAAATCCTAAACTTCCTCTTTACCTTTACCGAAACCCGTATACCCTTTTCCAAAAGTGTATATAAAATAGACAACACGTCGTATGAGCGATGAGCTAAAGGTAAACTCTGGTAACAAATAAAAGAAACTGTTGGCTGGCTGGCTAGCAACTAATAAAGTTTTCACCTTCCCCCTCTTGGCCAAGTTAATGCAGCGGAACTTCGTTTCGACCATTTCGCTGTGTTTTTACAACTCTTTCAGTGCAAATGCACATTCGCTGCAGCAGAAGCGTGTTTATTAAGCGCATTTATGCGTTGTAAATAAAAAAAGAAGAAAACCCCAAAACAAAATTACGCGCTCAGGAAATTGCATTTCGCACCAAGAGCGCTGGGATAGTGACACAATTTGGTCTATAAAAGTTTTGAATGGCCGCAACGTGAGCAGACTACACACAAAGGTGTGTGTATGTTGTGCTGTGTGTGTGTACTTAACCCCCTGGGAACTATTGCTAATTTTACAACGGATCCATAAAAAATAAAACAAGAAGAAATATGTTTATGCTTCAGCAAGTAATTTGCAGGCGATGAGTTGTGGTCAACAAAAAAATATCATAAAGCCTATCTGATCTAGATACCGATTAATGTTTCCGTTGATTGCCATAAAAATTAAGGCATGTGGTGTAGAGAAGTGAGTGTTAAAGATGTGGAAAACTCTTTTAATTTGCTTAGTTATGGGTCTTTTTGTGATAAATTTGTTATCTAGATGATAGTCTTGATTTTAAAGCTAGTCATAAAGTATCAAAATGTACTAACTAAGGTTATAATACTTGTAAAGTTAAGAGGTTTTATTTTAATCTCAAGTATTCCAAGCTAAAACACATCCTCCAATCTCTTTTTGGCTAAAAACTATGGCTTTAATCTCAAGTTCTAACTATTTCCAACTAATTTTCATTCTTGTAAGTTGTAAATTCATCACTTTTTGTCTAAAAGAAACTATTGCAGACACTTACTCACCCGAGAATCATTTCCCTTAGCCATGTATAAACAAAAAGTGTTAACTCACCTGTAAAGAAGAAAGGAAAACATATGAAATTAATATCAATTAAAGAGGATTTGCTTGTTGTTTTGTGTGAAAGAGGAAAATTAAAATTTAATTACTTCAACGTCCAGACAGAGCCCACAAAAGGTCAGGCGAACAAAACGAGCAGGAATATAAAACCAAAATAATGAATAAGAACGAAGCTCAGTGAAAGTTTTTTCTCACAAAAAAAAAATAAAGGACTTTCCCCAACAGACAGGCAGCAGCAACGGCACATGAGCTCGTAACTAACATAAACTCTTTTATTTTTTGCTATAAATGTTTTTGCCAGGACGACGACGAAGACCATCATCCATTCTCTGGTCTTTTGAGGCAGAGGAGCACCTGCAGCTTTTTGGCCAAGAATTCTTTGTCTGGGCGAGCGTCATAAATATCACATTTGTGGCAGACACAAATACACACACACACACATATGTGCATTAAAACCCATATATAGAGAGACGCCGGTATACGACTGCAAAACTTTCGTTGGCATTGTGCTGCATACAGCAAGGCGCATTTGCCGCATTTTATGAGGTGCAAATAAAAAGTTTGCCATAAAAATTGCCATAGACATGTGAACACAACTCAGGGAAAAAGCTTAGTGTACACAGAGAAAATGATGGGAAAGTCTGAAAAGGCACTAAAAAAAAGAGTTTACTAAGAAAAAGAGTTGATTTATTACTCAAAAAAAATCTCTCTTTGCCAGGGTCTAAAAGTATGCAATGATATTTTGTTACTTCAGATACTTGGTGAGAAAATAAGATTTGTTGGAAAGTTTAAGATTGTTTTTTATTAAACTTTAAACTTTATTTATATATTTTAAATAATATTTACTTTATCTAGATTAATATTTCCCATTAGTTTTTCACCATTTACATAATATTTTATGTCTGCAGATAAGTAAAATATGTATATAATTAAAAAAATCTATCTATAACTACTTTTTTTCACCGTGTAAGAGTCTCCTGGGGTGGAGGAGCTAAACTAAGTAGAAAAATGCATGTCTGGCACACTGTGGAGTGTGTCTAACAAGCAATCGGAAACACGCCAAAGGAAGTTGGAAAACCCACACCAATTCCCCACCTCCCCCAATGCTGTGAAGAAAAGTGTTCTCTCCACATTTGCCCCGTCATTTCCGCGAGCTTAAAGCAAACTCAAGAGCTTTAATTAATTCTGGAAATGGTTAAGAGAAAAAGGTAAATCCAAGGGGGGAGAAGAAAAGAAAAACGCACGTCAGGCACAGGTGCAATTTATATATATTTTGTGCTCTCTCTCTCTCCCTGGAAAGCAGTGCTTGAAACAATAATCCTTGACAGAGGAGAACAACGCATTTATTATTGAACTATTCCAGGGCCAACCAAGTCAAGTGGAGTCTACGTGCTGAGGGAACTAAAAAGGCAGAAGATGAAAAAATTGAAATGGGAAAAGGGGAACCACCGTTTGTTGTAAGTCAGCGACACATTCCTCCCCCCCAAAAATTGAAATTGATTTGCAAGTTGATCTCTGGCATATTAAATAAACAATATAAAAAAGAGCTAACTTCAAATAAATTCACTCCACTTCTTCAGTATTATTATAATATTTCTTTCATTATTTTTTTCTTCATCATTTCTATTTTATTAACACATGTGGCTTGGCCCTGTGTGAAATCTCTCGATTTAATTGGCAAAGTAAACAGAATGTAATTAGGGGAAACAAAAGTTGGTCTGCAGTTGAGCAAATCGAATTAGTTTCGTTTACATTGGGGATTAGGTGTACTTAGTAGAGGAGCTTCAACTTTCAACTGAGCACTGAGAGCAGGTGCCACATAAATGCTATTTTTCCTAGGATCCTTCACAGCGGAAGTGTGCAAAAAAAAAAAATACTTTAACTTCCACTTGAAAATCGAATTTTCCTGCAGTATTTTATCAGCGAAAGGTCAGACACTTTTCTTCTTTTTTTTGTGGGTGTTTTCACTACAAATTTCTTATGCACACAAAACTAACAACAAAAACATATAGAGAAGGTAGGGAAAAGGTAAGCACTTGGCAAGTCTATGGCCCAGACACTTGAGTCGGGTCGAGCAGCTATAAAGGTGACAATAACTTAACGAGCAATGAACTCGCTTCTTCTAACTGCTGCCTGTTCTTGATGAGCAACTTGTTGTTGTTGGACACAGAGAGGAAAAAATATTATATACAATTGATTTTAATATATACTAGAATAATTTGAAGAGCTTTAGATACCAAAAAGATATTTTGTAAGTTTTTATAAAAGTGGAAAGATATTAACAAATAATTTTATGAAACCTCCCCTTATTTCCTTAAATATTCTACATAGATTTGAAATATTAGTCAGCATTTTGTATACCTAACACCTTTAAAAATATTTTTTTAAGAAGAATAGAAAGTATATCATTGATTTATTTAATATTTCTTTGGATATTCTACAAATTTTTAGAATATTCCTTTAATTTTGTATACTTAAGAGCATTTGAATATATTGAAAATATTATTGACCAGTCTCCTAATTAAATAGTTATTTAATTCTCTTATATTGGAAATATATTTGCGCTATTTCTTTACATTTCCTTTACCTTTTATATATTTCTTTTGTAATTTCCGAGTATAAATACCTGATTTCTTGCAGTGCCTTTCTTTTTTGTAACAACTTCTGTGACCGGCGACGGTTTTGCAAGGAAGTGCCACTAAATTGTGGCAGATAACAACTACTAAAAGGTATGGCAGGGGCTTGAAAAACATGGAGAACAGCAGCATGTGGTCAGACCTGGACTTCAACTTCAACCATTTCCCTTCCTTCTTCTTTTTTTTTACTTGTCCCTTAAAGTACCAGCCTGTTGTTCAACTTTTTTCCTCTTTTTCTCTTGTGGTCTTATCTTTGAAGGCAGTCAAAGTCTTCAATAGGAATCCCTTAAACAAAAAAAAAAACAAGCAGCATTTTTGTATATATGTAAGTTTGCTTTTTGGCTGGTACAACAGTGCGTATGATGAATGGTTAAAGTTGAACTACCTGAGCTCTCAGCTGCTGTTGTTGATTTGCACGTGTGAACTGAGCAGCAGAAGAGAAGAGACAACGAACTCGAAACGAAAAGCAATGAAATGAGCTGCTGAAAATGGCAATTTAAGTGACTGTCGAGTGTCGAGGAGAAGACGGAGAATTGTTTGCCAGATGCCAGGATAAAAGCTCACAAGCAAACACAACACACACATGCCACATGAACCATCCGGAATACTCAAAAAAAGGAAAACCCCAAACACAACGCAATAAATGCAAAATATTCAAAACACAAAAAGGGAAGCTAACCAGCAAGATGAACAGCAATAATAAGGATAAAGAGGTAAGTTTAAGGGTTTATTATAACCGAATGATGGGTACTCTTTTTGAATGAAAGATTTAAAATTAAAGTTTGTTAAAAATTAATATTACAAACTCAAATAGTATGCAAGGTATGATATTAGAGGATTTTGCAGAAAGAAAGTTCACGATAACAAAATTGTACAGAATTTCGGCATTTTTTCTATTTCAAAAATAAATAAATTAGTGTGACCGTTTTGGATTGTGTAAAGTAATCGAACTTTTGTTATTATTTCCTCCATAACTCTGCCATAAAAGGGTGTTTAAATGTCGGAACTACATTTTTAAAACTCACAAATCTTATTATAGATTTAAAAAACATACCATTATAACCCGAATACTCTTAATTTTTCAACTCATAAAATTCCCAAAACAATACAAAACATTCCCATAAACCAGAGCCACTCCCCTTCTTTGTAAAAAAAAAAAAAAACTAGTTAAAACGAGAGTGAAGCCAAAAGCAGAATGTATCTTTAGGTTTACAGTCCAACGCCTCTTTACCTCATCAGCCTCACAGAGTTGGCACAACCCACAGCTCATTCCTCATTCACTCATTCATTCATTCAGTCATTCATGATGGATGCACTTTCAGGTGAGAGGCACAAGCTGGAAATGCATCAAAGTGGAAGACGTCGCTCAAGTGGAAGCAACGGCGGAAAACTCGTGGAAAACCCGTGCCACAGGCAAAGAGCAAAAAAAAAAAGTCATTAAAATCGCATAAAAGTGAAGCCCAGGAAGAAGAGGTCCAAACACGGGCTTTGACACGGTCGGTCACTGGCCAGAATGATTAATTGTTCTACCAGACAGAGTGAGTTACCCCTCTTCTCCTCCAGTTTTTTATTTATTTCTTTGCAATGACCTCTCTTTCCCTTTGATTTAAATGCCGCAGTATCAAAAAGTCATAAAATCCCCTCACCTCAATTTAAATTAATGACAAAAATGTTTGACAAAATCATTAAACGTGTGCAAGCTTACAAAAAAAATGGGAATAAATAATTATAAACACCCCGAAAAAAGGAATATTTAAATATTAAATAAAGAAAACGTTTTTTGTTATTATTATTTATTTTTTTGTTTTTTGTTCACATGTCCCAATGCTTTTTTAATAACTTTTGTGACCGCGAAATAAATGATTCAGTCTGAAATGTGAACTGCTCCCAGTCGCTCATTAATTTTCCCGGCATTCGTTTTCTGGGACAGGGGAAAAACTCTGTTGAATATCATTGTTCTCCCAGTTGCTTGTATTATTTTTTCATTTTTGTGAAAAATCATCTACGCTTTTTTTTCCTAAAGTGTTTTTTAAAAACCGCATCAGACATGAACATGAACCATTAATCATCGCCAAATGTAAGCGGCAGGCGAAAGAAAAAACAAAAACCACAAGCGAATCTTTGTCGCTAAAGTTTTTATTTTACTTTTATTTCGTTGTGTGAATAACATATTTATATGCACCCACAATCAAAATATAAAAAATATAAAAAGAAGTGTATATAAACTCTCACTTTCTTTCACTTAAATGAGTGTCCTCCACATGTGAGTCACACTCACTCTTTTTACTTGCAATTTTTCATTAAGCGAAATTAAACTGCAGACAGTGCTGTTGATAGGAGAGGGAAAAGGGAAAAGAAGTACAAATAAAACATTGCAAACATTGAAAAATGAAAACTCAAATACACAAAAAATACAGAAAATTGCCAAGCAGCCAAGAGGAACACACAAAAAACTTGACATTAATCATTACAAGAGCAGACAAAGAGCAAAAGACAACTCTGAAGGGGAAATCGAGGGACAAAATTGGAAGAAATGTCGCGTGTGTAGTTTTTTTTTATATATATATAAAATATATATTAATGTTTCTGTCAAGCATATGCTAGGGAAATGATAATCTGTAGAAGAAATATTAGTTAAGTTCACAGAAATTAGGCACATTCTAATGTCTGATTAAAGACACAAAAACTTCTCATTTCTCCTTTAAAATATATGTATATTCTCTTTAATTGAAAACATCTGCTAAACTAGTTTCATTTCACTTTATACATGTTAAATATTAATTATTATTTAATTATTCATAACCAGTTACCTAACACTCATAATTAACCAAACAGAATCATCACTTAAAAGTGTAATAAATTTGCATGAAAATTAATGTTTAATGCATGAGACCGGCCATTAGGAAGTCATATATTATCTTTTAAATTTATAACTTTTCTTTAAATACCAATATTTAATTTGACCATAAATTTGAGCATATATTAACAAATAATTTATAAGCAATGCTAATTAAAACAGGGGGAATTTCACCAAAATATTATAAATACCTGATTTTGTGACTCTCTTTATTTTTCGCACAATTAAAATATCTTTACCCAAAAGCTGAAAGATTTCTGAAATTCCTAGACAAAACCTCTCACTTCTCCCTCCACCTAAAGCCAAGTTATTCATGGGTCAAACCCAGTATCAAACTCATTGGGAATTCAACGGCGTCTCCTACACTCAACTTATTTTTACGGAGACATTAAGCGCAGCGCAATTTCAACGCCATAAAGTATGCCATAAAAAGCCAAGTATTTCAAAAATAGACAAGGATAGGCCCGTAAGGACAACAGCAGGCCAACACGCCTCCCCCCTGGAGAGGCGGCACGCCATTAGTCGCCACATTAGTCACGGGGGATTTTTTGGAGGCGCACACACAAACACAAACACACAGTCATTTCCATGAAACTTTCTCAATTTTCCCACAACAAAAACAAGAGCAGGAGCAGTAGGAGATTCAGAGCCTTGCAGCAGTCTCTACACTCTTTCTGCAAAGGACATTAAACCCAAAAACGACGGCGACGGCTCCTACAGGAAATTCTACGCAGGCGCCATAGGCATCGGCTCCTACAATCGGTGCGAGCTTTTCCGCAGAGACAGAGAGAGAGAGTGTGGAAAATGGCAAAGCCGGCCGGCTTTTCCTCTCTCTCGTTTTCCCATGGCCATGGCCGTGACAATGGCCCTGGCATTGAAGTGCCATATGGCTCACCTCCTACCACATTTAATGCTCTCTCTTTGAATGGTTGTCCTTGCACTTGCCCTTGCGTAGGCGCAGGATATCAAGGCTCCCAAAAACTCCCATACTCCCGCCCCTCGCTTTTCCACGCTTTTTCTTTTCATGTTTAGCCTTTCAGGCGGGGGAAAAAGGAAGCATTGTGAGGAAGATGCGGGCTGCTTTTCATGCTGATTTTCATATCGTGAGAAAATTATGGCCCATTAAATTGGTTGTTACTTTTGGCTAATAATATTGATTGGAATATATTATTGTCTAGGTAATATTAAATTAAGTAGATGATATTAAAATATATCTGAATCAGGATTTTTATATATTATTTTATTTATGAAATTTTACATAATTTATTTAATAAGAAACTTTAGAAAATTGCTTGTACTTTATATATATTATTTAAGTTTTGCTGAAATATATTGAATTTAACTTTTCTAACTATATCTTCATTTTTAGACTCCTTTTTTGGTAAATATTTTCCTTTTTAGCATCCTTTCTAGGAATATATATTCATCTTTAGGATCCCTTCTTGGTATATTTCTTCTTTATTAAAATCTTTTCTAAGTATATCTTTCTTTAAGGATCCTCTGGTATATATATATACTTTTTTAGGATCCTTTCTTGAAGTATTCTTTTTTATGACCCTTTCTTGGTATTTATCTTTCTTTTTAGGTTCCTTTCTTTGTTATTAATAATTAATTTTTTTTCTCCCTATTTCTAATTATTTTCCTCTTAATTCAACCCTTTTTCTCTCCGTGTAAGAAGCCTCTGCTTTTGAATGTTAATAAACCTTTTCCCAGCACACTTGGGGGCGTGCGCAGGCCTATACCTTTACCTCCCCCTTTAGGAGCCTAAGCTTTGCCGGGTGCTTTGACCTTGTCCTTGCACCTATATCCCGCCTAATGTCCCGCCTACCGCTGCCACGCCCCCTTCCGCCTCCTGTGGGAGTTATTTGGCAAATGTGCGGCACGCAGACTTTCTGACCTTCCTCCGTCTCCGAAAAAACCGTCTGACGCATTTATATATTATTCAAGGCGAAGGTCGAATGTGGGGGGTTTTTTATTTTGGGAGGGAAAACTCAGGCATGCCTGCGTGCTGCTATATATGCGTGGGAAAAATCAGTGTTTTTTTCTTTGGGGAAAGAGCTTCCAGCTTTAAGTGGGATTTTATGGCATTCGGTGTAGACACAATTTAATATTGAAGGAGAATAAAAAAATACGGTTAGGTGCCTGAACCTGATGCTGCACACAGACAATAAATAGCCGGGGTCCTGGGCAATAAAAGTTGATATTATTCCTTTACCCCCCTACCGTAAATATTTGATATTTAAATTTGGAATTTTCAAGACGAGAGAGGACCAAGAGACAAGGCTTTGTCATAAAATTGATTGGTTTCCCTTCTGACCTTTCCCTACTCTTCTGTTGCTCCTTGTCCATTTTCAGGTTCAAAGCGCATTTTCAGCTGTCTTTCTTCTTTCTTTCGGGCTTTTTTGTTATATTTTTTTCCCCCTTGCCAAGGCTGACGACAGGTGTTCGAACACGGACAAACTGTTCAGCGAAGCGAAGTGGCAGTCAGAAAAAAAAAAAATTATATATATATAGGTATTTTAGGTATATGTAAAAAATAAAATAAAAACAACAATTGCTCAATTGAACGAGGTCAGTGGCTGGACGAACAAAAAAAAACTGATAAAAGGGAAAAGGAAAAGGGAAATGGCAGTGGAAGTGGAAGTGTAGCTAAGTTCAGGCTGCCATTGCCACTGCAGCTGCTGTTATTAAAAAGTTTTCTCCTAATTGGCAACTTTGTAGACAGACGCCGAAAAAAGCGCCAAGAGAAGCATAAAAATTTGACCAAAAATATTGATAAAATCAAGCAAAGAGGAAATTAACAAGGAAGAGAAGAGTTTCTAATACAAAAATCTATGCTTGAAATTCTCTAAAAGGTGTTTAAAGATCTTCTAAAATTTGTTATCTACTCATTCCACAAAAAAGGAAAATAATTTTGGAAAGCCGAAGTTTATACAGCTTTAGCGTTTGTAATGAAATTATAGAACAGTATTGGAAATCTATCATAACTAAGCTTAATATATCATATTCGAATTCTTTGAATTGAAAATTATCCATATATTTATGACAATTTTTTCGATATATCAAAATTTAAAATTCTCATAACTCAGTCAAAAAATCATTAATTTCAATTCGTTCATTCAACCTGTTCTGTATTAGTTTTTAGAAAGTTAATAATTCTGCATACTCAATTTAAAATGTTAAAAAATTTTTTTTTTTTCTTTTTTTTGACAATTTTAACTATCTAAACTTTTGGAAAAAAATTTAAAAAAAATGTGTCGCCCCAATATGGCTAGATCGCTCCGGCTAGTGATGCTGATCTAGAATATATATGATTTATAGGGTCGGAAATGATTACTTCATTGTGTTTTAAGCTTCTGAATAAAATTAGAATACCCTGCAAGGGTATTAAAATAGAAGTTGTTTTAAAATTTTTGTATTTAGGAAATACATTAAATGCTCTTAAAGATGTTAAAATAATATTATAGAATTGAAATTTAAAAATAAGATCAACTTTATAAAATTATAAATAAAACCTTTTAAGTTGTGTAAACATGTACAAATTTAAAATTCTCATAAAATAATAATAACAACCAATACCTTACCAACTTTCAAACCAAAAGAAATCGTAAAATCCCCCACAAAGTCTACAAAAAATTACATAGTAAATTCCAACCCGAAATTTCCCCCCGACATTAAGGATGCAAGTCCTTGGCAAGTTCACTTGGAGAATGGCCAATATAAAGTCAGCTTAAGAACCGTTATGACTGCAACACCACCGCCAAAACTGAGCAGCAAATGTTGCAAGTTCAAAGGATATAAAAAGAAAAAATCAAGAAAGAAAGGGAAGAGTTGGGAAGGGAACACAATATCCA